AGAAATATCAAATTTTTAACTATTGATGAAATTGAATATATAATGAAATCGCTTCTACAAAAATATTGTGATCGACCTAATGAGCTAGAAGATGTTACACTTTATCAACTATACTAAAAATACAAATTTTTAAAAGGCAGTTAGAAACCATATATATATGAAAATATAGTACATGTCTGGCCTCAACTATCACCTCAGAAAAATGGTTCTCAATGGGAAGAATTCTGTGTTGTAAAAGTTCTGCTTCATATACGTTATCGAAGTCTCCAACAATTAACTATAAACGATATATTTTTTTGGCCTGATCTTTTCAGCTATTATATTGAAAAAATTGAAAGAGATCTGGTTAATTTATTTCGTTCATCTGTGGACAATATAGATAATTGTGAATTTAGTGATGATAAAAATAAATAACAAGATAATGAATATGAACAGAAAATACGATCAAAGTAAATGTTATTAGCAGAAATAAGCCTGAATACAGCTATTGATAATTATTCAAACTTGGGCTCATATGAAATAGATAGGAACTATGATTGAGTTGGCGAGTTTAAACAATATTATCCAAATATCAATATTGCAGATGTATCTAGTTTCTTATAGCAATCTCATAATGAAGATGATATAGAAGCTAAAAATTTAATTGTCAATATGGTTGATATTCAAACCTTAAATGATAAACAGAGTTTAATATTTAAATGGGTCGAAGAATATTATATTGCATTAATTGTGAATTCTAGTCACATTGAACCTCTTTGAATTATTATAATAGAAACTGCTAGAACTAGAAAATCATACCTGATTTTAGCAATCTGGCGTAAACTTCTCGAAATAACAAAAGACCATAATCCTAATCTTAAATCACCTATACTTGTGATTGTGCCAATAGGGATTGCAGTATTCAATATCTATAGAGCAACAGTCCACTCAGTACTCTCTATCTCTGTAAATAGCATTAACTTTGACATAAGTGAAGAATAACTAAAATGATTACAAACAAAACTGCAGGATATAAAATATATTGTTATCAATAAAAAAAGTATGATTAGATGAAAAATGCTAGCCTTAATAAACATGAGGTTATGCTAAGCTTTCTCTGAACAAAAAGATCAACCTTTTGGTGGTCGATCTATCATTCTTATTAGTGATTTTGGTTAGCTTCCACCAGTACTCGATGAGCCCATGTATTCTCAAACTCTTTAATGTGATCCATTATCAAATGATAGCATAATTGCATACAAGCAATTTTGAGAAATCTACAAGCTTGATGCTGTTGAATGACAATCTGGCGATTTAGAAGAGCAATACTATTTTAGAGATATTTTATTAAGGCTACGTGATAGCGAACTACAATAGATGACTAGAAAACACTTACTACTAGATATTTTAATTTACCAGATATAAATAATAGCCTTTTTTTAGATACTATATCTTTTTTACCTTGAAAGACAGGTGTTGATGATGTCAATTTTAATAAGCTTCAATCACTAAATAGTCCTATCACCAAAATTAAGGCTATACATAATTTAGATAGTTGTGAAGCAGCTAAAGCTGATTCTAATACAGCAAAGAGTCTTGAGACATAGTTGTTGCTTGCAAGAGGCACACGAATTATGCTTAGGGCTAACTTATGAACCGAGAAAAGATTAGTCAATAGTTTGATAGAAACAATCCAAAAAATATTATATGAAGAAGATAAGCACCCACCTTCTCTTCCAAGTACGATTCTTGTTGAATTCGACAATTATACTGGTCCTGCTATTATAATATTGGAAAACAAACAATTTGTTTCTATATTATCTATAAGGCAAACTTGGAAAACAAAATCAATAGTTTGTTCATACTTACAACTTCCTATTAATCTTGCGTAGACAATTACTGTATATAAGAGTCAGAAATTAATGCTTCCAAAGGCTATAATAGACCTTGATGAAAGAGAAGATGCCGCAAGGCTCTTATTTATAGCAATATCCCAAGTTCGCTCACTCAAAGATCTTCTTTTTTGTCCATTCTTATTTGAAAGACTTCAACATATAAATTATTCTAAAAAATTACAAGATAGAAAAAATAGAGAAGAACGATTAGTTTCTTTACTATCTGCTAATTTGGTATAATTGAAACTCTTCAAACAGATCTGATTTAATTATTAGCCAATAATAAAAGCCAATAATAATGAGGTCATATGTAACGTTACCAATATGATTAAGCCCCAAAAATGTCAATCAAATTTTAAGATTAGGTGTAAAGTTATATAATCTGTCAAAAAAAAGGCAAAAATCACATATTTCTTGAAAATAAGCATAAGAAATCACCTTTTTGTCTTAATAAAAATTTTTTCTCAAGGAATTTTACTATACATTTTGACTTTAAAGTAAATGCTAACTCTAATATAAATGAACTTTAAAGTAAATACTAACTATAACTTTAAAAATTTTACTGCTAGTGATATTTTGTGAGTACCCTAGAGGTAGTCCACAACATTGGCCTGAGTTAGGGTAAGTGTATTTAGTAATACTGGGCATTGTTATACCTGTAGCAATTCTCAAATTTAACACTAGTTTAGTACTTACAAAAATTGAAACTATCAATAATACAGTAAATTATCTTTATAATATAGTTCAAATATATGTTACTCAATACTATAATTAATGCAAAAATTATTAAAAATATAAGTTTTTAATTAAGTTTGCAATACTAGTCATGTTAATTAAATTTGCAACGCTAGTTATGTAGTGAACAGACAGATATTTTTCGTCTAGTATAGAATATAACAGCCAATCACAATGAAGTCACATAGCGAACAAATAGATATTTTTGAAATCAAAGATCTAGTATAGAACGTAACAGCCAATTACAATGAAGTCATATAGCAGACAGACAGACATTTTTGAAATCAAAGGTCTAGTATAGAATATAATAGCCAATTACAATGAAGTTATATAGCGAACAGATAAACATTTTTGAAATCAAAGGTCTAGTATGAAATGTAATAGCCAATCATAATGAAGTTACATGGTGGATAGCCGGATATTTTTAAAATCAAAGATCTAGTATAGAATATAACAACCAATCACAATAAAGTCATGTGGTGAACAGAGGTATAGTATAGAATGTAGTAGCCAATCACAACAAAATCACATAGCGAACAGATAGACATTTTTCAAATCTAAGGTCTAGTATAGAACATCGTAGCCAATTAAAATAAAGGCACATAACGGACAGATGAATATTTTTTAAAGCAAAGATTTAGTATAGAATATAACTACCAATCACAACAAAGTCATGTGATAGACAGATAGATATTTTTCAAATTAAAAGTTTAGTATAAAATATAATAAAGTTACGTAGTAGACAAATAGGAATTTTTTTATAACTAGGTCTAAGATAACCAATTATCCCTTAAACTGTCCAGCAGCAAATTTGCTTGCTAAAATTTTTTTTGGTTAATTTTTATACAATTGCTCTAAATTTTATTAAGACGCACCTCCATATTCTCTAAGCTAAAATTAAAGTATATCACATACCAGATATCATATAATTATTATTTTGCAAAACTTCTTTAACACTGCCCCCAAAATCAATTAAATAGGGTTAATCATCATATAGTCTTTACGATCAATTTTAATAGTAAAAAAGGTACCTTCACATGACAATCATGAAGGATCTTCATGATCATTACATAGAGATAGCTTTCATGATATTAAAGTTGATCAAAGATTCTTCACAACCAACTTCACAAAGCTGATTTTTCAGACTATGTGAGGAAGATAACATGACTCAAAAGTTCAGGTAAAATAGCATATTTTATAGCTATTGTGTGAACTTATGCCTTTTGTTTGAATCATTTGAAGCAAGCTACACTACAGCAATTAAATATAATATGTGCTTCGGACTTTTGGAAGTTATCATAACTGGTTAGAATAAAGATCTTCTTAAAAAAAAATTTTTTTTTATTCTACTTCGTTTAATTATTTTAGTGGGCAAATTTGCCTACTAAACTGAATAGTTTAAAGGATAATATAGTTATGTACTAGACAGACAAATATTTTTGAACTATTATATATATATGTAAGTCTTCGCTACGCTTCAGACAATAAATATAAAATTTTATATTTAGAAAGTATTTAAAATTTAAAGTACTTTAAAAATATAAAATTTAAATACTTATCAGTCAACCAATTTGTCATATATTTTATATATCAGTCATAAAATATATCACACCTAAATTTTTGTATATATAAACTTATAGCAAAAATATATAGAATTACATATAAACTTTGTTGCGATAATATTTCTTCA